AGTGACAAGGTCTTTCCTTGTCTGCGTCGTATTCGTTTTCATCACAGATCAGTATAGTCGATGTGCCTTCTTTCCACTGCATTAATAAAAAACGAAATAGTTTAAAACACCTACAGTCATGCGTTTTTTATCCTTTCTGTTGCCAGCATTGAATTTTTGTTATTGTAATTTAGTCAGCGATGACAAAAATAAATGAAATAGGTTAATTATCTTCGTCCTATTGAGCTGCTATCAAAAATGACAGAGATTACAGAAAAATGAAAAATAAACACATACATATGTAAGAATCGTCTCTTCGATCATACTCAAATATCCATACAAGCCTCAAACTTTCGATGCATCATTCTCTCGTTTTGTCATTAACGGTACAAATGAATGATATTTATGCAGAATTTTGAAAAAGCGCATAACACTGCCCTTCATAGAAAAAAATGGAAGTTCATCACATTTTTCTAATCTATACAAATACAATAATTCACTACACAGTATTCGAAGTCTCAAATGATATCTAAATAAACTTTTTCCATTCTTATCATGAAGCTTATTCCTCAATGAATAATTCAAACAGAATCTTTTTTTTGATTTAAAACAGTAAGACATAAGCAGATCCTCGTTAATATATGTGTGATTATATGTACATATCCTTTCATCTCCTGTTCAAGAACAAGTAAACCTATCATTGTCATAAGGTTGATTGAAATTCTAGTAGTGTTCAGAATGTGAACTAGTATACGATAAATTTAATGTGAGAGTGTTCAATATCAGCATGCATCGATTCTGCTGAAAAAGTTATCATTTTATTTCTAATGCGGGTGTGGATGCATCGTTGTTCTACACCTTTATTTTTGTCGAAACAAAGGTCGATTAAAAAACAAACTTTCACGGTTTACCAATAGACAAGTTATATCTGATAGAAATAATATATAACAATGTTTGGAATAAAATTTGAATTGCAAATGAAATCTTGAGAAATTATATTTTATAGTAATTACGACTAAAATAAAGTTTTTTAATTATAATTATGCAGCATGGAAATCAACGAATTGATTTTGATCGAGAAATTTTACAAAAAGCACGTTCAATATAATCCCAGGTCGATGATTTCTGAACCCGTATTCCATGAACTTTTAGCAGAAACTCACTGAAAACACACCGATTCTGAGAGGAACCGACCCGGATTTCTCGACCTGGATAAAAAAAAGTTGTTAACGCAATGTCTGTGGGATTAAAATGTGAAACACAATGAGACTTCTTTGCTGGAACCCATCTACCGCGGCCCTGTGTTATGGTGTATGGTGCTGCCAGAGAGCATCACAGGCTATTATAGAGAAATTAAATAATTTCTCTGTAACGGTGTGGTGACAGGATTCAAATTTCTACCCTATATACTTCAACACTTCTTTCAGATCGCGTTTCATACGATTATAATTTCTTATGCGCTAGTAACTTTGAAAATCGACAATAAAACAGTTATATGTGACCGTAATAAGTTGATTCAACTGCTTGATATTACCATTTTATTTCATTTATCGCTATGGTTAAATTAGTTTCTTACTGTCTTTGAACATTATGTGTCAATTAATGTTTTAAATAACGAAATTATCCGTCCTAATCGATGCGATTTCGGTTCGCAATCGAACCTCTAGTTTCAAACAACTTTAACAGTTCAAACACAACCCATGTTGCGAATACTGGATCAATTTTTGCGGTAAACCGCGGTATTTATCCGTTCTGCGGTAACGGGAGCCGGTAACCGGACCAGTAAAACCGCGGTAAACCGCCGATTTTATGCGGTTTTTATTACATGGGAAGCTACACTTTAAAAAAGGTTCCATATGGAACCTTTTAGGGTCAAAAATGGTTTCGTATGTGCCACGGAACTTAAAAATAGTTTCTTACATACTACGAAACTGAAAAAAGGTTTCGAGATTTGCAACGAAATCTAAACCTTTTGAAGGTTTGGTAGACTTTCATCGGAACCTTTAAAAAAGTATCCTAGACTCTTTATAAATCTTTTGAAAGCAGCTTAGGTCTATACAAAACCTCTAAGAAGGTTTCGACTTCGTTGCAAATTAAGTTCCGCGTGGAACCTTTTTTCTGAGCGTGCAATTGATCTTGCTTATAATGGTAAAAATAAAATGCTTTTATTTATTTATTTTTCGCGCTAGTTTTCATTTCTGTTGTTTTTTAAAGTTAACGAGCCAATCTCCGCTCGGCGTCTAGTACATGTTTTAGTTAAATTAGGTAAAATATCAAAATCAACAGATCAACAACAACCGACTGCTTCACCACTGATGTTACCTGAAGATCGCGAAGTAATCGATATTATGACGCAAAGTAGATCGATTGGGGTAAGTTGATTGTGATTGAATTTTATTGATTTTACTAGCTATCTGTGTTTTCTTCTTAGGCGGCATCAAGTCATATACATTCATCAATACATCCTAATAGTTGGTATTAATATTCTACACATATAATATAAATATATGCATATTACGTAGGATAACAATGAAATAATCGTATACAGTTGTTTTTTCTACAATTTTTATGCTTATATTCATTTATCGTATTTGGACATGTGCAGACAATGCATAACCTCCTTTTGGACACTCAAAGGTAAATATCAACAGCAAATAATCTACACCAAATTATACCTATGACAGAAGCATATAAAAAAAGATTAAACTTGATAGAGCGATCTTTTTATTATCAATTGAAAATAGAGCATTCAATTATTTAAAAATCAACTTTATTTAAAACATATTTAGCAGTATTAATATTTGATTAATATGACGTCTATAAAAAAAAAGAGTAATGTCTCTAGTAGTTCTTGGTGCTACCAAAACAATTTTTGCTATGGTACAGAGAAATTTAGTCTTCTCTTACATCTTGTATCATTAGTAGTAACAAATCAATTTTTTCAGAGAGATTTAGGCTGATCCAGCACACTTATCAGTCCTCGTCGTGGTGCCACCACTTGTCTGTAATTTTTCAAACATCTGATTTTTAAAATAAACTTTGGTTTTGCCTTAATTTGATAAAATTGCATTCTTTATTTTTATTTTTATGTAATGTCTTCAAATAATAGACAAATAAAATTATATGACTGAACGAAAACAATTTCTCGAATCATCAATGGGTCTCAGATACAACTTCAGTTTAGTAGTAACAGATTTAATGATATTGTCTCAAACGTATGATAGATTGCGTTGTTTTGTCATATAAAGGTTTTTGTAGCATTCTGTGCTTTGGAGAATTCGTAAATCATGCTAAATAACAACAACATATTTTTATCTTTGAATAATACGCTTTCATTTAAGTGGGCAGCGAGAGAATTGAAGGAATAAAAACATTTTATTCGCCTTCGCTTTATCATTTTTTAGTGAGATAATATAAAGCCATACTGATAAATATTTTGATGCGTTGGCAAAAATACTTTTTCGCAATAATTGCGAAACTTCTAAAGATTACTCATTTGTCTGGTATAAAAAGTGAGATTTTTCAGTCACTGTATTCATTCAGTATTATTCGCAAACAAAATACAACGATGGCTTCTAGCCAACAAACTCATGGAGCAGCATCATGTTGTAGAAATCGACGTGAATTAAGTTCGGATGACATTGAAAATCTCAAACGACTTCGTTCAGCTGGTGTACATGGACATCCTATGAAGATCTTATCGATGTACCATGAATGTAATGAATCCATTGAATTAACAAAAGCTCGAAAAGATCATGAACGAGAAATGCGTAATCAACAACGAGAAGAACGATCATCAGTTAGACCAAATTTTTAGCTCAACAGAAAGATAATAGTGAAACTCTGTGGTCTTGTTTAGAAGCATGAATTATTAGCTGAAGTTGAAACTGGCTACGTAACAGTCAATAATCGGGAAGATTGGCCACGTCATATTGAACAGGTATACCTAGATGGAAATAATATGATGTTCGTTGTTAAATCACTTCGACGTTTATGTCTAAATCGAGCTGGTAAAAAAACTGAACGTGCTTTAGCTGAAATAGCTTCCGCATGGAAGAAACAAATGCATATACCAAATGTTGAAATTATTTTTGATGCAACACATCAACTGGATCAAATCGGCTCAGTGAAAGTATCGAGCGCTCAACCAACTCATCGAACAACTGATGATATGCTTGTTGAAATCGCAAGAAAACCGGAGAATCGAGGAAAAAACAAACGCACAGTTATAATAACATCCGATCGAGCTTTAGCTGCACTTGTAAGTTCCTATCATATTCTTTTTCTTGGTGTTCTTAATCAGTTATAATTTATAATTGCAGTTACAACGTGAAGGTTGTTTACTTATGAAACCATATAATTGGTTTGCTCATTGTGTCATGGTTTTAACACCTGATCTCATTAGATGTGAAGAATTAACTGGCATGAAAACAGAAATATCAACGCCAACAACGGTCAAGATTCGTTACGACTTTGATGAGCTTGTTCATCGTGTCGCTAATATTGATATATAAACATTCGACTTTTATGCATTCTGTTTTATTCAAGGATAACCTATTCTTTTGTGTGATTACATTATTGTAAATAAAAATTGTCAAAAATGAGCTAAATTTGTTTTATTCTGATTAGTGTCAGGCTTTTGTTTTGTTNCTCTAAACGTACAGCAGGGATTTGATCCCTAGGTCCCGAAAAACATTTTGTTTTTCTTGAGCAAAGTGATTGTATCTTTTTGATGATCAATTTTCAAAAAAATTGGGAACTCTCCTTAACTTTGACTAATTTTGTAAGAATTCTCTGATCAATCATTTAAGTCATTGAAAGTCTTGCTCTCATTTAAACTTGGCAGCCTGCGATATCCGCGATTCCGAATTATTCTAAATCATCCCCATTTGTACATACTGAATGACTATTTTTTGTATAATATTCAAGTAACTTTCAAGGATAAGAAAAATCATATAAAGCAGACTAGTTACATGAAGTTTTTACATTCAATTTGATTTCAATTGTATTCAGTTAATTTGAAAAAAAGATACATTTAGTCGTATTATTTAAATAGTCACCTAGCTGAGCGACCAGTCGAATTCTGTACTATCTGTTTTCCTTTATGCTTGGAATCAATTTTCTAAACACTCTATTTTGCTCTTTACAATAACTAATATATCTATGTATGCATATGAAATCGAAAAAGTACATTTTTGTGAAAGTACTGACTATAGTGAGTTTTCCAAGGTGAACCCTACGGATTCCAATGAATTTTTGTCCATGATGCTGCACGATGTTATAGTAAAAACATCAAAAGACTTTGAATGCATAGCACTTTCTTGAAAAATTACGCTTATTTTTCAGATTTTCTTTCTTTTTGAGTTACCAGAAAGTGAAATAATCGGATTTTGCTCAGAAATTTTGTTAATACATAGGCCGACTGAACACTAAGACACCATGAAAATTTTTGCAATAAGAAAATTGTTCTTCGATATATACTCACTTTTTGAAGGAATATATTTAAAAGAACATATTTATTATCGCTAAAAGTTTCATAGTATTTTAGTGTTTAGTCTGCCTATTTATTAACAAATTTTCGAATCAAAATTTGTTTATTTCACTTTCTGATAACTCAAAGAAAAGAAAAAAATCTGAAAAATGCGTATACCTTTTGAAGAAAGCACTACTCTGAAAGAAAAAAAAGAGTTCTGCAGAGCCCTTTTATGGGTCCGTAGCTCATGCGAAACCATTTCAAGTTCTCTATGACAATACGGAACTATCAATAGTTCTGTCCAACAGTACTGAACTTTGGAAGGTTTCGGGAAAAGATTCAAAACCATAAAAAGTTCTGTGTTAAAGAATACTGAACTAGATATAGCTCTGGATAAAGATGCGGAACCTGCAAATGTTTTTTATCCAAAAGGGGAACTCAAAAGGTTTTGTCCCTTGATACTGAACCGTCTAAGGTTCAGTAGAAAATTGTTGAACCATAAAAGGTTCTGTTTCTGCAAAGCTAAAACGAAGAAGTTTTGTACAATAAGACTAAACCTTGGACGGTTCTGTCAAAAAATGATCCATTCTAAAAACAAATTATTTCCCCAAAAATACTGAAGTGGAAAATATTTTATCAAATGTAACTTAAGATACATTCATGACAACTATTTTATTGCATATTTTCTTCTTTCATTCACTTCATGATACGTTATTGTGCTCTAATGTTCGACTTTTTCATCGCTTGAGAATACTTTTTGCACTTAAACCGTTGACATGGAGTGAATTTTCTTTTCTTCTCAAGTAATTTTACTTTTTTTTACATTTTCCACCTGTTTCTTATTGCTGAGAATAGATTGAAATAAATCACCATAGTTTCCTCAACATCTAGCTAATATATGCTAAATCTGGTAAATAACTGAAAAGGCAAATAATGCTATCATCCATATTTAGTAATTCAACTCCTTTGAGATAAATTACAACTATCATCACAATTCGACGACTCTAATGAATCTCCAATAATATTTTTAAGTATCGTATGCGTCGGCTATATACGCGATTTATTATCATATTATCGTTGTCTATCGTGTTTGTTCTAAAACACTCATTCACATCAACAAAAGAAACCATTCAATTAAATATGTAGCACTATGAAATTATTCAGCCATATCATACGCAGCTAATATGCACACATGTCGTTGAACTTCACATCTTACAAATAAGATAGAGGATTTAATGAAATCCATATGAATCCATGGATATGTCCTAAACATATAGTTTCACAAATACACAAATAATCGTATAGTAATAAGGAAATCCATATAAGGCTATTAGTATAATGATATAAGTAAAACGGTCAAGATATAAGAATATAGTCGTAAAGGCATGTTGAAAATAAAAGGATTGTAATGGTGTAGATATCAAGGTATGGATAACGAGGTATAGCTATCAGATACAGTATTAAGGCTAGAGAAATAAGGACGTAGCTATAAGGCTACTCTCTGAAGCTACCTGGTTTCATCAAATTTCAAGGAAAAAAGACTAAAAATAGCCATAATAATTTTTAAAGGTTGTAGTGATTGAAAACACCACAAACTTCTGGTTTCAAATGATCATTATATCTGCTTCTTTCTTAGAATCACATGATCGAACAATAAAAAAAACTTATAGCAATTTCTCTTTTGTTGGAAATTCTTCAAATGGATTTCATCCAAATGGTAAGTTTCATTTCAAAATAAAAAACTAATATCATAATTTCTTTTTTTTCGTGTAGCTTTTTACGATTGTATCATTCCAAGGGTAATTCACATTGAAGAATCAACAGCTAATATCAAGATTTCTTTTTGGATTAGATTATTTCAATACATTTTGTCCAATCAGCGAGTTATGTGCAAGAATTGAAAATTACATTAAGTTTTTATTGTTTGTTTTAGATTCTGCAAATAGATTCTATACAAATAGTAAGCTTCATTTAAGAATAAAAACGTAATATAGAAATATCGATTTTTTTCTCTTTTCGATTCTTGGAATGATTTTCATTCAAAGGGTGAGTTACATTAAAGAATGAAAAGCTAAGATTAATTTTTCTTTTCTTTTAGATTCCTCAAATAGATCTCAGCGAATGGCTAAGTTACATATCAGTATTCGAGAAATAACGATGTGTCATTTTGATGTTTTTATGATAGACGACATGGGCTCGAAATCTGTATGACTGTCGATATTTTTCAGATCTTTCATTGTATTCTCACGTTGGTGAGCTTTCAAACCTTTTTTCAGTTTCTGATATTGGTTTGTGAGAGAGTACTGTAACTATTTGTTTCGGTTCAGAAGACTTTGAACACCAATATTCGGAATCTCTGAAAGGTTTTCAGACAGTGACAAAATCGGAAAGGCTCTAAAGTTTTCCCGGAAACACACTTTTTTAGGAAATATACAAATAAGGGTATAGTTGTAATTGTAAGGGTATGAATATATGAATATCGCTATAGGGATACAGCGATAAGGGAAATCCGAACGGTAAATCATTCAAATAATGGAACACCTTATACGTAGGACAGAACCTTTTTTGAAGAAAAATCACATATGGTTTCGTTATTTCTCTACTGAACCTTTTTTCAGTCAGAACCTTTTTCGAGGGTTCTGCGTTTTAATCGATACCAGAACCCCTAAAAGAGTTCTGTAAAACTCCTTTTTTCTTTCAGAGTAGTATTAGAAAACAATTTTCTTAAACCCTTAAACGGCTTATTATTTTTGTTTAATAATAGTCATATAGAATTAAATGCATTTATTTTACTTGTTTCACATCTGATATGGGGGAACAATTGGTTCAATAACGGTAAAAGTTAAACTATAAATAAATTCTTTTTTTCTTTTATTTAGAGTTGACCGCGCGAATTATCCAATAGTAAGTATTTTTAAAATGCAATTAAGAAGTTTATTTGCTTATTTAGATTTGTTTAAACATCTGATTTCATCCGTATGAAGGTATGGGTTTCAGCACATAGTAAACTTTTATTTACTATTCAATCAGCAGGTGAAGAATACTGCTCGTGATTACAACGGTTTATATCTCGCATTGAAGAAAGTGACATCGTAAGAGATCTTACATATTTTCAAAACGTTGGAAAACATTGGAAAACATAACTGTCATACGTCATATTAGACAACGAAAGAACAATCAAAGTGAACTAATGGCCACTTTATAGTTTTTCTAAGTCAGATAAGATGCTGTATCTGGCGACAAGAATGATCAATCGAGATTAGGTATCCTTACCAGATAAATATTAGTGGAAACGGCATTAGTACTTTTCTTCATTAGTTTAGATTTTTTTGATTCTGAAAATGAACCAAATCAGAATATATGAAATAATCTTGTCAGTGACTTATTTTTGAGTATTAAATCTATTGGACTTCTCTATGTTTTCTCATAGTAATCTTTTATTAAATACACCGCGTAGTCATTCGCACGAAACAATTCTAAAACTGTTCCCGTTTTAATACTATCAGTGAGCAAATGAAGCGGCAAAAATAAAATAACAGCTTCTGAAAAAGAAAATTCCAATTGATCATCGTTTGGATGAGCAAAATATGAAGCTGGATAATATATAATGCAGGCTCAACGAGGATGTACCGGCTACAAGAGCTGCCAGTTGCGATGAAAATAATGTTGATAAAAAAGATATTCTATGCTGTTGTGAAATCTCAAGCTATTTCATCTTGTTTTTATTTATTCATTGATTAGTTTTTTCATGATTTAAGTACCTCTCGATCTCGTTCACAATAGCCATGGGGCGTTTTTTTATTCATTTGCTAAAGTGTGCTTCTCAGTGGGATACGCACGTTTTCAACAATACATTATCTCTCTTGGATCGCAAGGACCATCGAGATTCAGCTTGCAATTTCATTGTTTCCCAGTAGTTTAAATCAAAAAGAATAGTGAAATCGTGCACTTAAAATTTCTAAATTAAAGAATTCAATTGTTCCCCAATTCGATATTTAGAGATTCACATGGGTGCGTATAAGGGAAGATCAATATTTTGCA